TAACATACATTGAAGAAAGGCTTGAAGGGTGCTCACCAAAATGTTATTGGTATCCAGATAATTACCTGGATCTGCCAAGTTTTCCACAATGAATATACATATTTTAAGAAGAAAACAAACAAAATGATAGTTTCAATGAGTAGTCTTTAACGGAGCATCTTAGAAACTCTTTGGAATAAATTTCATGAATTTTGATAGAAGAAGTATAATATATATGTGTTCCTGCCAAGAAAACTGAATGGCCTTTAGCATAAGAACCCCATACTGTTCCCACGTCCCTCTGACATGACTTTAGGGTGTGATTCAATGAGAAAAGCAGAACCACGAGGAGACAGATCCTGTGTAACTGTGGGAGCTGGTGGAGTAGCCACGGCCTCTGTGTCAGTGTGAAGCCTAAGTCACTCTGGACAGCCAGAGGAGAAAGCTGCCTGTGCACCAGAACACGGAGATGTGAGGGTGAAGCGGAATGCATGTTTCTGTTACCACTTCCAATGCTGACATCATGGGATGTCACGCAGGAGAAGCTGACTGCACATGCACTGGGCCTGGGATTAAGAAAAGTTCCAGGAGAAGGTCCTCTGAAGACTGGAGGAGCTATGGACCCCACTGCTGCCCCACGCCCACCAAGTCAGTGACAGTCTAGGCGAGTGGCCCACCTGCCTGGCACCCTGCACTGAGCTTCAGAGGGTGAAAGATATGGCTTCCGCTTCACTGCTGGCTTCCAAAATCCCATGAAGTGTCTCTTGCGGCCAACACCTACTCATAACCAGACAGGGAGGGAAATTCTGAGAAGTTTAGCTTCATCTTCAGTAAGCTGGTGCAGTACAAAGCTACCAAAGTCCATGCCTCATCCACTTGGCCTCTGTGTATACACCTTGTAACCATACTTAACTTCAAAAAAAGAGTAGAAAAACCATGCTTGCCCCCAACATGATGCAATTATCCCTCACACAACTAAAACCAACCTGTATCTCCAAAGAGTTTACAAAGTTCCTTCAACTTTGGAAGTTATTTGTCCCTCTTCTAGCTGAAACCACATTCTGCCTTTGACATCCTGTAAATTTAATCCAAATGTATGTGGTTAACTGCTATTAACACATGTTAGATGGTAGAAAAATGAGACGGGGAAGAAAAATATATATTTTTATATATATATATATAAACACACACACACACACACACACACAAACATATCAAAATCAGAAGGAAGTGCAAATAACTATTACAGTCCTTATTTCTGCTCCTGATCACATGGTTGTATTTATAACTACCTTCTACTACTTATTCCTCTGCCCTCAGTAAGCAGGTAGGCTGCTCACGGCTCTTTGCATGATGGGGTGACTCAAATCTTCACTCCTGAAGGGTGTGAGCCATTAGCAGTCCTCGTATTGTATTGTTGTTTCCTAATGATTTTATTCACAGGACCTGGGAGGACTAACAGATGCCCCACTGTATCTTCTGAATCCCAGAAATACTCCATACTTCCACTGTGTAGTGGCAATTCCTTGACAATCAAGATCATTCCATCACTCCAGCCAGTAACCACTTCAGTGACTGCTGATTCACTGGCATGAGGAGCCCCAAGGGGCCAGGTTCAACTGCCAGTTAACTGAACCACTACAGTGCCCCCTAGTGGGAATATTTCTCTAATGAGAATTGAGAACTCTAAACCAGCAGAGCCCACTGTTGTGGGAATGAGACAAAAATTTCAGAGGTGGATCACTAGGGGTTAATAGAGAAGCTCCTTTCATTTACATCCTCTATTCTCAGACCAGTGAGGCTGGCTTTGGGAGAAACATTGAGAGAAACATTAGTTACTGATTTAGAGCATATTCTAGGTCCTCAAGTCTCTTATTTTATTTTTACACATTCAAATTGTATAAAAGTTCAGAAATACTAAGTATGAAATGAATGTCTACTTACATTCATTTTCTACTTGAGAACTATTTAGACAGAATTCTGCTAGAACACCAACATTCTTTTTACCAAGGGCAGAGGAGGAAATCCCTGTCCACTGGAAGACAAAGAATGATACTGAAATTAACAAGGAATAAGACTTGTACTTAACTTTCTATATGAAAGTTCAGAATTTAAAATTAGCATTCTGTGTCCAAATTATCAAGTAAGAATGGAGACAGAAAAAAGCATTTTCAGAAGTGGAATGGCTCAGAAATGTTGCCTTCAACGAACTCTTTTCAGGAAGTTACTTTAAGAGGACATATTTAACAAACCAATAAAGTAAGCCACAAAATATGAAGACATAAGATTCAGGAAAAACTTATAATCCCAGAGAGTAGTGAAGAGAGAAGTTCCAAAAGAATACCAGGAGCAAGGTCTCAAGGGGAAAAAAAGGATCTTAATAGAGTAATTAACGTGATGGAAAATGGGGGGAGAAAATCGAGACTATGATAATGTAAAATTGTGCAATGAACGGAAGGAAATTTAGAAACTCTAGGGAAAAGAAAAAACTGGATAAAAAAGGCAGTGTAACCATAACTCATTAGTTGGCTCTGTAGTGAACAAGAACTATATAATGTTGACATAAGCATGGTTTACTTACTTATAACTTAGAGAATCAACCTCATTAAAGGGAGAGCACTTGCCTTTCCTATGTGAACTGGTAGCAAAATAGTAGAAATGGGAAATTTCTCTTTACAGAAGTTTTCCAGCAAGTAAACGTGAAATAAATATTAGACTTAGAAAACCGCTGTATCACAACCCTCAGTGAATTAATACGTCTAGACCAGTTCTATCCATTAGAACTTTCTGTGATGGTGAAAATGTTCCACGTCTGCCCTAATACAGTAGCCGTGAGCAACATGAGGCTGCTGAGCATTGGATATGTGGCTAGAACACCCAAGACACTGATTTTTGTGTTTTATTTCATTTGAATTAATTTAAACTTAAGTAGCTACATGTGACCACCATAGAGGATCATGCATACCTAAACAATGATCATAAATGGCTGCTAGTATTACAAAAGGAAACATCCAGATACTTTAAGTCTCCCTATAGAAGAAACAGAACCACTCAAGTGGTCTTGTCTAAAGACGGAACCTGAATTTAGTTCCAATTTGCAAGGAAATACAGGGGAATATATTAAAATACCATAGGGATGTGTTAGCAAAATTTAGACTGTGGGATTCTACATCAAACAACTGAATTTCTTCAACACATAAACAGCAAGGAAAAATACAGAGAACTGAAAGAAACTATAAATTTAAAGAGACTTAGACAACTAATGGCAATGTGTGAATATTATCTGGCTCCAGATCCAAACAGAAAACTGAAAAAAAAATTACTCCCTTTCAAAATAGTTGAAATTGTACGTACTTACTAGATATTTGGTGATATTTTAAAAATTGTACTAACTGTTTACACTGGAGTTTTAGTTTTTTAAAAAAGGCTTCATCTTTCAGAAACATATACTGAAATATTTGTAGGTAAAATTTGCGGTATCTGAGATTTGCTTCAGAAACAATACAGGAACCAATCAGACTCATTAGGATGGCTACTATCAAAGATAAACCACAGAAAGTAACAAATGTTAGAAAGGGTGTGGAGAAACTGAAACCCCTCTGCATTGCTGGTAAGAATGTTAAATGGTGCAGCTACTGTGGAAAAACTGCATGGCAGTTCCTCAAAAAAATTAAACATGCAATTACCATACAGTCCAGGAATTAATTCCACTTCTGAGTATATACCCTAAAAAATTAAATGCAGGCACTCAAACAGATATTTTTACACCTATGCTCATAGAAGTGTTATTTCCAAGAGCCAAAATGTGAAAGCCACCTAAGTGTTCCTTGATGAATTAATGGATAAACAAAATGTGGCGTATTTATACCAGGGGAGATTATTAAGAAAAGAAGTTCTGACACGTGCTATAGTATGTTTGAACCATGATGGCATCATGGTAAGTGAAATAAGCAAGTCACAACAGGGCAAATATTGTATGATTCCATTTATATGAGGTACCCAGAGTAACCAAATTCATAGAGATAGAAAGTACATTCTCCTGGTGGTTGCCAGAGGCTGATGAGGAGAGTGGGGAATGGCCAGTTGTTTAAATGGGTAGCGAGTTTTAAGTTTGGGAAGACTAAATGGTTCCAGAGATGGATGGTAGCGATGGTTACACAACAATGTGAAAGCATTTACTGCCACAGTACTGCACACTTAAAAATGATTAAAATGGCATATTTTATGTTATGAATATTGTACTATAAATAGTTACACTACAGGAGTGGACAAGCAGGAGGGGCTGAGATGGAATTACATGGCTGTAAGTTGGTGGTTGTTTAGGCTGGATGATGGGTATGTGGGAATTCACTGACCTCTTCTCTCTGCTTCTGCATATGCTTGAAATTTTCCATAGTGAAATATTTTTTGTACCAAAACAAGATTTATACAAAAATACAAGAAAATTCCATTCAAAAGAAAAAATGAAAACAGGAAAATGACCAATAATTCCCACCAGAAAAATTAATAACAGAGAAGATAAACAAATGACTGTGAGGAAAATATCACCTGATTGATACTGGTCAAATTTGTAAACGTTTAATTTCTAGAATATACAAACAGTTCACACAACTTAATAATAATAATAAAAAAACCCAATCCAAAAATAGGCAGAAAATCTAAACAAGCAATTACCCACTGAAGACATGTAGCTGGCCAACAGGCACATGAAAAAATGCTCAGTATCACTAATTATCGGAGAAATGCAAATCAAAACTATACCTCACACCAGTCAGGATGGCCATTGTCAAAAAGTCCACGAGCAATAAATCCTGGACAGGAGAAAACGGAACCATGCTACGCTGCTGGTGGGAATGTATTTTGATGCAGCCATTATGGAAAACAGTATGGAGATTCCTCAAAAAACTAAAAATAGACTTAGCATATGCTCCAGCAATCCCACTCCTAGACATATATCCAGAGGGAACTCTAAGTCAAAAAATATGTGCACTCCAATGTTCATAGCTGCACTATCTACAATAGCCAAGACACAGAAACAACCTAATACCCATTGACAGATGACTAGATGAAGAAATCGTGGTACATTTATACAATGGAATACTACTCAGCCATGAAAATAAAATGCCATTTGTTGCAACATGGATGCACCTGGAGACTGTCAAAGTAAAGCAAGCCAGAAAGAGAAAGAAAAATGCCTTATGAATATCACTCATATGTGGAATCTAAAAAAAGAGGACACTAACTCATCTACAAAACAGAAACAGAGTGAAAAAAAGACCTATGGTTACTGGGGGAAAAGAGGTGGGAACGGATATATTTGGGAGTTTGAGATTTGCAAATGTTAGCCATTATATATAAAAATAGACATAAAATATTCTGTATAGCACAGGGAACTATATTCAATACCTTTTAACAATCTTTAACAAAGAAGGAAATGAAAACAAATATATGTATTTATATGCATAACTAAAACATTGTGCTGTACACCAGAAACTGACACATTGTAACTGCTATATTTCAATTTTAAAAAGTCAAAAATAACAGAAAAATAATAAAATGATCAGATTCAATATTTTGAAATCTGCAATTTTTACTAGTGATTAGTGAATGAGTGTAATAGCATACTTTTGCCTTGAATAGAATTCAGTTCCCCAAGGACTGATTGATTGATTTTCTTTTGGAATTTCAACATTTCTCTATTAAGCCATGTATATCACTGAAATATAAAGAAACCGTAAGTGTTTACAGGAAGATTACC